TGTGTGTGTGTGTGTGTGTGTGTGTGTGTGTGTGTGTGTGTGTGTGTGTGTGTGTGTGTGTGTGTGTGTCTGTTTGAGATTCTACTTACAGAGTCCTAATTCAATTCTTTTTTCTCTCAAACTTCACTTGAAAGTTCCAGTTTTTCTACAATAGAAACTTTGAGATTAGCGAGAAAGTGTTCTGGGTAGTGGAAATGTTGTGGCTAGAGCTTTGTGTGTTGCCATTTCTGATGTCAGATTTGTATCCTTTTATTCAAAATGTATAGAATGTACAAAGGTGCATATGTATATAAACCAGTGGCCTAAATGTTGTGCTCCATGTGTCTGGATAAGTATGTAGTAATCTACAAAAGCTCATGCTGAAATAAGTCAGTTTAAGAATCTGCTGCACTGGTAGTAAAATTTAAGCACAGCTTTGGAGTACGGCTACCTTTTGCACTTTAGACCTTTATGTGTTCCTGCTGAGTCTGTAGAAAAATTCAGAGGTAAGGATATTCTCCCCTTCTTGCCCCACCCTGGTTGCACCTCCATTTTGACTTTCCTTTCAATTTTCACTTAAAATGGTGCTCAAGGTAATTTTACAACTGAAATACTGTTTGCAAAACTGGACATAGCAGCTGTTCAAAAATGCCTCATTACCTGCACAAATGACAGCTATATTATATTGTATTTCCACCTGCCTATGATCTGCTGAGAGCAGCTAGCCAGTAGTTTTTTTTCCCTCCAGGATCCTTTGATAGATTACAGCATTTATTTGGGAAGAAGTAATATTTTAAACAAGGCATTCCTGATTTTACAGGAAAGATAGAACCTTGTTTCATCCTGGTATCCCAATCCGGGGAGAAATATTGAATCAAGAGAGTAGTACATATTAAGAAACAGGTGGTTTTTGTTGTTGCATCTGCCGCTGTCCATTTTTCACTCTCTTCCTTTTTTTCTTTTCATGGCCAAAGATGGCATTATTGATTGCCCTGATCCAGTGAAATGCAGAAGGTCTCTTTTTTGTGGCAGGGACCGGGAGTCATCAGAAGCTGCATAAATGCTTCTTCTCAGCCAGGAGGGCACCCCCTCCCCTTTTCTCTATATACATCAAAAAGGAGAGAGTGAAACTTTCTTGCATGTGTTCTGAATGCCTCCTATTCAGTCAGGAATCTGGCATTTCTTCCCTGTACCCAGCCATCATTTGGCCTAGAAGGTGTTTACTCACTTGTGAAGAGTCAGCCCGCTCTGTGGTGCATCCCCTTGACGAGCACAGACTGGTGATTCATCTCGTCACAGCCCAGGGCAGGGTTTTTGGAATGATTTTCTCTAGCTCTGAATGGCAAACATCAACTGGGCTGGAGTTAACAAGTGCCCTGTTATTTTTTTGCCCACTCATGCAGATATGTCATGATTGAAGAGTGGGTGGGGGTTCATCTTAGTTGAATCACTGATCAAAACAACGAGGAAAAGCAGAATACTTCTGAGTTGTAGGAGCACAGGTCCTGTGGTTAAATCAAAATCCTGACCAATCCTGTATCCTGTTTCTCACAGCAGAGTGGCCAGGCGACAACAGAGCATTAAAGCAACAGTTATTTCTTGTTTCCAGTTCCACACCCTCTCGGGCAGTTCGTATTTAAAACATTATAATTTGAAGAACTAATTGTATTACCCATTATATCTTGACAGTCAGGTTGCCATTATTGTTATGATTGCTCTGGTTTCATGCAAGTAATTTGATACATTAAATGTTAGCGGAAGATGAGAAAAACTGCAGGGAAATACTCACTGGTGCCCTCTAGTGGTTACTTTTGATATTGTTTGTTGGAAATATTTATAAGACAAAACCAAAGAATACTCCTTTGCATAAAACCTGAAAAAAATTGTGGTAAAATGCTTATTCAGAGTAATGTTAGAACATAAGTGTTACTTTATACCTAACTGACAAAAATGTTACTTAGTACACTTTAAAATTCACTTTGTAACTACTAGTTACATCTCTCATTATTCAAAAAGTAATTAGTTATAGGTAATTGTGACTAGTTACTTCCAAGCTGAGATTCAGAAGGCTACTGCCAGGAGAACCCATTTAGCTGACTCAGCTAACTGGTACTGGC